GCACAAAATTCATTACATGTAAAATAACCATGTTCTGAGAATTTACTTTTTGTTCATGTTTAAGTACCTGGCTTATGGAGCAGTCTCCTTGTTATGGCAGATTGTCCAGGACTGGTAGGTGTTCTGTCTGCCTTTGTAGGGAGAGCTACTGTCCACTTAGTCTTCTGGATATTTTTATCTGTTTGTTAATTTCTTTTCCTGTACAAATGGCAGGGCTTTGAGGTCTTGTACTAGACACTGCTTCTGTATTTGCAAATTTACAGGGTCTCAAGAGAGAACTGCTCGACAGTTAAAGATGCTTGTAAAGAGACATGACTTGAAAACCAGCTGAAATAAAAGTTTTCATGTTTTATAGGCCTGAGGCTGCAGTCCTTTGTGCAACTGCTTCCACACGAGTAAGGCAGAACTGGGTTTAAAATCGTAGATGTAAATACAGTCACACCAAAGAACAGGGACAGACAAAAGGGACTATGAAGTTTCTCACCCCACCTGCCAGTGCCCTCCTGCCCCTGTTGGTAGTAACCACTGCACCCCTCCTTGGCTAATTAACTTAAATAAGAGCAACCACTCGAGCAGCACTGCTAGCCAGCAAGAGGGCTGCCTGGACCATTGCTAAAGGAAGGAGGTTTGTGTCTGTAAAATGTGTCCCTGTCTGGTGAGCTGCCAACTTCAGCTGTGCTACAGCTGGTCCTGATTTGCTGTGAACTGAATGGGGATTTACTGACCCATTGGATGTCTTTCCATCATAGAGACACAAGGCAATTCTGTTCCCAAATTTACATGCTACACACACCACCACTATGAACGGCTCAGCTCCCCCAAGCCTCATATTAGAGAAATTCTCTTTTGGTCAGTGTAGATACTGGGCTCAGGAAGCAGACCTGGTAGCTGGGTGAAACTCACTCACACAGCCTCTCCCTGCTGAGTCCCCTTAGCATTCGTGTCACACATGCACTCTGCCCTGCCTGGAGTTAAGGATCTCAAGAAGCATCACTTGGTTTTAGAAGAAATTCTGTTGGTTTTAAAGCCAAGAAGGAAAATCAAATTTTCAGTGTTAGGAAAAAAAAAAAATCAATCACCCAATTGGAAAGCATGCAAACACTAAATAAATAAAAAATCCCTATAATTTGCTTCACAATTTTAAATAAAGATCTAAAAAAAAAATCCCTGAGACAAGCATACCTGAGAGGGACTAGCAAGGGCTAGCAAACGATGAAGATTATCATTGCTGAGCTGTCTCACCACACAAAAGCCGTTTCTGAAACGCTGCCTTATACTTTTTTACACTCATGTGAAAGTCCTACCAGCTCAATGCTGTTCATGGTGCATGCAAGGGAGAGTCTGTTACCAAGCAGAGGGCTCAGGGGTAGAGCAGAGGACTCAACTCAAAGCCTTCTGGCATAACAATAAATAGAAGTCAAACAGTGCGTAGGCAACAGCTGGGTAACAGCAGAGCCCCTCTATGCTGTCACTCACCTTGTGGAACCTCTGCACGTTCAGAGATGGCTCTTGCAGGTGCACATTTACACAGCACTTAGCAAAAGGTGTCCTGATCCTGATACAGCACAAGTAACTATCACATGGCAGCCCATTAAAAAAATCAGCTATAAGAATTGATCTGGACTAGACAGACTACATTTCTCTTACATAGGAAGCAATCTAGTACTAGTTTTCATTCTGAAACAAAACTTGCAATTTTAAAATAAAGCTTGCAACTTTATCTTAGCCCTCTCAAATACTAGAGGGGAAAAAACCACCACCACTATTCTCACCTGACTTTATCTTGCTTTAGAAATGCCCAATGTTTACTTAAACCTCCATACACGACAGGAAGGAGTGGATTCTCCAAGTCATAGAACAGGACAGTAACTTGCTAGGAGAGACATTATTCAGGAGAGAGACAAGTGAGCTTCAGGTCCGAATCTTTTAACAGCATGGATGGCAGAACAGACAACACTTCCTACCGTCTGCAGGAGGAAGCACACTGAAGAGAGATGCTGGATTATTTCCTGGTGGTGGCAGTAGTTTTCTGTGCTAATTGCACTGGTGAAAACTATTTTCAAGGTTTCTTAAGATCTACAGTTCTGGATACTCACTTCTGCAATGTTTAGTCAAAAATATACTTCCCATGCTAGAAGAAAGTACACAAAAGGCCAGGCTAAGAGAATGCAACTATTAAAAGTTTTCATTTTTGCCAGTCACTCCATCTGACTTCAGTGTATAGGCTGCTTCCAGATCTTACTAATTGTCTAAGATACCTGAACTAGAACAAAGTACGTACTCAAGTTTGGAGAAGGCATCTATTCAGACTAAGTATGTAAAAAAGAAAAGGCAATACAGAAGGACATAATAACTTGTCATAAATATTGCAGTTTAGATGTGGAACTTAGGGGGAGAAAATTAAAATGCACAATTTTAACTCATGTATTGCTACAATATACTCCAGAACAGCCCAAATATATGCAAAACCCATCATGTATGGTTCAGTCTGCAAGTGTAGGCTATGTCCAACTTCCAGACCAAATCTTGGAAGCCAGGAGAGGTGGCAGCTTGTTTATCTTATCCATTCCACTGGTACTGAAGCTCAGTCTCCCTGCATAAAGAAGTACTTTCCATGGTACCCAAACACTGCTTCTTAGTCACAAAAGAAACAAAATATGTATCAGCGTAATGCAAATTGCCCATTTTCCCCTCCACACATCAATTGAAAGATTTCAAGAAACAAAAGAAAATAAAATTCCAGGCTTAAAACCAGCTATTTATGATCACTGCAGTATTTTTATCTACACATCTAGAGCAGACTGCAAACATTTTACATTTATGACACATACCAAGCAACCTGTTTGGTTTTGTTCCAGATATCCACTAAATGCCTCAAACTTCCTGTATATTAAAATCTATACATGAAAATGAATAGATACCAAAACAAATGAGCTCTCTGTAGCCATCACATCTGTAATTTTTAATAAGTTACATAAATAATTCCTTTGTATTGCATTATAATTATGAATATCAATAACCTCCATCCAAACTACCATTTTGATATAATGAAGCAGGGGGAGGGAATCTGACCAAAAAGCATAAATTTCTTTCAAAAGCTGCAAGATAACAGTGAGATCCTTTATACTGTAAGATTCTCTGTACAAAACAATTACGTTGTATTTTCTGGACCGTGCAAAATATACATCCTTGGCTTCTAAAACCTATAATGAAATCAGAATTAAGAACAAAATGCAGATGGCTGAACTTGCTATCTCTAGAACTGTTTCCAATGAAGTAGTTCTTTTGGTCTTTTGCAAGAGGAAAAAACTTTGAAAGTTTAACAGCAAGTTTCCAGAATGACTACTACACCCCTACAAGTAAGCCTCAATAAGTAAGAGAATTACGTAACACAAAATCTTATTTTTAAGCTAGAATTATAAAGATTTACAACAGAACAATAGAATAGCAATACTGATTTCACAAACTTTAGTATATTAATTTAGTACTTCACCAATTATCATTAAGTTGTACGGATTAGGGAAAAAAAATATCCTACCAGATGGAAGTAACAAACAAACAACATTTCCTGACTTGGTAAATGGTGAGGTCATTTCAATACAATGATTTTTACCCATATCACAAAACTACAAGTAACACCATCAGGTATTGTCAAAATCAGGTGGAACATGGAAAAGCTGAGTAACTAAACATTTATATTCTCCCAACAAGTTACAGACAAATGTCTGTAAAGTGATCAAAGTACTAACTGAAGTCTTGGGGCACTAGCTGTTTTTAGGAGCATTCACTAAAAAGCTATGACACACTCAACTGTACTAACATAACTGTGTTTTAAAGCACTGTTAACTTTGCTCCAGTTAGATCAACCAAAACTATTATGGAAAAAAAAAATTACATACTGCATGAATCATTCCCCTCAAATCAAGCAGAAAAAGTAATGTGGTAACAGTCAGAACTGCTGCATTAAAAGGATTATCTTGACGACAACACTCAAAAGGTAAAGCAGAAATTAAGGGCAACTCAACACTTGAGCCAGTAAGTACCAGAATGAAAGCCCCACTGCTTTTCTCTACTCCCCAAGTACACGTGAGTCACAGTAAACTGATGAAGATATAAACTCAAAGAACCTTCTATATTTTTCTTGATAAAAAAAAAGTACACTCAAAGAATCCAGAGTAGTTAAGAAATCAATTAATTCTAGAGGTTTTTTATATAACCCTTTGAAAGGAACAACAAATAACTGTTCTGTGTCCTGTGTTTTCACTAGTCCTCAACCAGCATACCAGGGCTGGTGATTTCACAAACACGAGAGAGAAATATGACAAATAATTTAAACCATTTTAAAAATACAGCTTAAAAAAAAAGCCTCAGAGCTATTTTGCAATCACTCAGTTATTCTTTTTTTCACTACTGAACTGAGTGGGACTATACTACTGCATAGTTCTCTTCAGCACTATAGCTGTATGGTGTACTCCATATAAAGCACAAGAAACTGAGCTCAATAACCTGCACTAGGGCAGGCAGGATCAGAGTACGACCCTCTATTTCAGCCTCCTAATACCTATTTAACAAAGCTACTTTACTTTGATGCACTTAATTTGCTTCCTCTAATAATAAAAGTACATCCAAGCTCTTGTATGGAACTGTTTCTTTCAAATGACAAAAATACAGTTGCCTTTGTGAGGAAAGAGAAAGAAAAAAAAAGACATTTAGGTTACTTATAGGAAACAGCAGGTAAGTAGGAAATGGAAGAAACATATGTGTTTTAGCTGAATAGAATTGACACAGTAGAGCTGGTGGAGAACCTAAACACATGAAAAGGGAATTGGTTTATATTCTCTTTTTGACTCGTGTCTGAACATTTCAGTAAGACCACAACGTTCTACAAAGCATAATTCAAAAGCAAAAACCATTATATTCAGAAATATTAAAAATACTCAAAATTGCCCCCAAATCAGACTTAATAAACATGTTTTTTAAAAAATAAAAACTGCAGACTTCTATAAATGGTGTTGCATATTATATGGGTTTAGTATTTGGTCCCGGTTTTCTTCATACTTTTCTATCATTTTCTGCATGTCATGGTCAGCTCCAATAACCTTGAAAACAAGAACATGAACGTTAGAAATAATTGATACCATAAAATATGGTTGCTTTTGAGCAAAACAGAACAGGACGACCACTGAAGCCAAATAATATACTCCTAGAGATCTGTCCAATTACCCTTCTGCTCAAAATCTGGCATTCATTGAAAAGCTACATGTCTGACCCCACAAACAACCACAGTGAACAGACCCTCCGGAGGGAAGACCAGACTTTTATGTTTTACAAAATGGGTGGCTGTAAACATTTTTCTCGGGTTTTCCTTCTCCAAAGGGTATTAAGTAAGCATTTTTATTTACTTTTACCACTGAATAACACTCAATATTTGAAGATTACAATCTTCCATATGCTTAATTTGTTGTAACTCAAATACTACTCACAAGCACTGGGCAGGAAACTTCAAACAGTGTATGTTTAACAAGCCACTCTTCGTAGAGCTGATGAATAGCTTCTAAATATTCCTAGAAAAGAGGCATTCAAAAGTCAAGTAAAATGCCCAGGGACGGAATGCACATTGCGATTTTTATACATTTGGTAAGCAGTTAAGAACAACATATAAAAGCAAGCATCAGATACTTCCACTAAAAAAAATAAGAAGGATCATAAGGCTCCTGAGCAAAATTAACTCCCAGCACAAGGTTTTTTTCTCCACGAAGAGCCTCAGAGACACAGTTCGCAAGAGCACTGGGCTCTCAGCTCCTTTTAAGATCAAAAGCCATGTTTCTCTCCCACAGGTATAAAGTGGCTCAAGATTTACAGAGAAAACCACAACAAGGAAAAGGACAAAAGGGGCAAGACTGCAAAGAATACGTATTGAAGGCACTTCTCTGTCAATACATTTTCCTAAAATTCCTAGTTCACTTTTTCCAAACTCTGACTCAATTTTCTCTAAACGCCCTTCTGCCCGTCATCAACTATTAGGGTTTTTTATTTATGGAGACTAACATTTTTCGTGCATTATTGCTCCTCCTACCCTTCAATAGAGCTGCAAAGTAACTCAGTGTCTCTCTTCAAATCTGTTATAGCAAGGATTTATTCTCCAAGGCAAAATTTCACATGGCCCAAAATTCAGCTCTTTGTATGTATCTCCACCTGACAATTGCACCTACTGAACTACCCAACACTACAGATACCTCTGTAGTACACAGCACACCTTAGGTAACTACATGTATTTCTGGTTAGGCTTTCTTTAGGAGGAAGAGTGCTTAACAAAGGGCCATTCTGTAAGCTGTGACACAGAAAGTGATCATTCAATCACTACAGTTTATTTTAAAGCAAATTCCCACGCTAACAATTCTCAAGAAGTTGCTTCTTTTCAGATACTAGCACAGACTTTTCATTCATAAACATCCTGGTAACAGCAGACAACAAAGTGCACACATAAATCTTCAGCACCCACGTGCACAGGTACTTGTGCTTCAGGGGGGTGTTTTTATGCCACTTAATGATACAAAAGCAATTGCCTTTCTACATCTTAGAGAAGATGAAGAATTGATTGATACTCCACCTGAACAGTCAGCTATAGTACACTGATTACTAAAACATAACAATTGGGAAAAATAGATCATTTAAAAAAAAAAATAAAAATTAAATACTGAAGTTTTAGTTTGCAGTGGAAACAGCTGCATCACATTTTGGCAATATGCTCAGGACATGATTTTACTATTTACATAGGAATGAATATGTTTTTAAAGTTCACTGTGACCACATACATTGAAGGAAATCCTTACCAGAGGAATGATTTTTTCCTCTTCTCTGCATCTTCTTTTTAACCTCTCGTAACAAACTTCAGGAGAAGTTTGCAGATAAACTGTCACAAAAATGGTAATAATTATGTTCAAGGATCAGCTTTAAAAGCAAAGAAGAAACTTATTTCACAAACTACAGGAAAGAATCCTGTCTTGAGTACCACCACTGAACCTCCCCCTTTGCTGTTAATCAATCCATGAACCACCCACAAATTCACGCTGCCTGATGCTACACATTGCAACCACTGAATAATGTGATTATTTATAACCCAAGAAGCAAGAATTATTATGAGGAAACCCACCCACAAACCTCCAGACCCTATGAAAATTTTACCTATCAAATCCACCGAAACATCAGTGTTGTTCTGGATCCAGTCAAACCATTCTGTAAGGACAACGTAATCCACCTCTGGCATTTTTCCACTAAATAAACAAAACAGTCATCACTCACTCAACAGCATGCACAGATCGATTCTAAACTCCTATTTTTTTTTTTCATCCAAATGGAATTACTCCAAATTTACTCTGGCATATTGGTCTCATTTTCATTTTACATATTATGTCCAAAATAATTCGTAAAGCATTTGTTATTTTAAAAAAATATTTTTTAAAAAAAGTACTTACTAAAGTTACAAAATTATTTTTCCCACTACAGTTAAGAAATAATCACTTGGTGACTAAGAACAAAAAACATTACCATGTTGACACTCACACAATAACAACAAATTAGTGTCAATGGTTGCTCAAGTTCTTGATATCAGGATCATTTCAAACATACCTGAACTACTGCAGTGCATGTCACCAGAAAGGCTTGATTTAATGAGCAGCACTGACACTTCACTACAGAAGCCATAGTAAAGAGCAGTGAAAAAATAACACCACCTTGTAAATAAAATTTACTCTACTGCAAGAAATCCTTTTATGCCATTTAATGATATAAAAAAGAAAGAGCACTGAAATATTACACATGCTTAATTTGAACTCTGTATTCAGAGAGCACAGACAATACTGGAGACCACTGTCCCAAAGTTATCTTAGTAAGAAAATTAAAGTATCAAAAAACTCATGTAAAAAGGAGTCTGCAGAGGACATATTAAGAACCACATACTATGTTTTTATTGTATTGGAATTTTCACTTATTACCATATTCCTAAACACTCAAATAGTACTAAGTTTTACATTCTGTTTTCAGAACTGGT